AAATGACAGAGATGGTAGGCAGTAATTTAAGATGCATATGACTATTTCAGGACATAAAGGAAAATCTGAAAATAATGAAGAGAGAAATGGAGTACAAACTTCTAGAGCTAAAATGTGTATTATCTAAAGTGAAAATTTCAGAAGAAATTCTTAAAAGGTAAGAAACTTCAGAAACCACCAGCTACTCACAAATTCAATACACTTCTGAGAGAAAGTAAAGAAAACCTTAAATATATGAAGAAATACAGTATGTTGTTGGGTCAGAGAACCCAGTGTTGCTATAATATAAATTCTCTCCAAGTTGGATTTATTGATTCAGTGAAACTTCAATCATATATACCAGCAGGCTATTTTTCCCTTAGAAATTGATGACCTGGTTGTGAAATTTATGATGAATTGCAAAAGTCTAAATGAGCAAAGTGAATTTGGAAAGAACAAAGTGAAAGAACAAATGCTACCTGATTTCAAGGCTTATTATAAAACTATAGTAATAAAACATTTTCATGGTATAAAGGTAGACAAATAGATCACTGGAGCAGAACAGATAGTTCAGAAATAGATCTATACAGCCCCAGGCAAATTACTTTTTATACAGGTACAGACACTTCAATGTAGAAAGGATAATTTGTCCAATAAACTATATGAAAACAAGTGGATATCTATGAAATCTGATAAAAATTAAGGTGACTACTTAAATTAAAAAAATATTACAGTGAGAAATACCTTGCTGTTAAAGTCTCTTGACTTCAAACACACTTATCCCATAATTTTTGCCACTTTCTGAAGCAGTTCTGGAGGTCCTCTTTCATGACTGTCTTTAGCTGTGGCTCTTGGCTGCCTGTACACTCTGAATCGACCCAACACATTTACCGCTCATGATCAGTTTGACTTTGGAGAAGAGCCAGACATCACACGGCGCCAAATCAGGTAAATAATGTGGATGAGGACGCACCAAAAAATAATTTGTATTGTTGTTTTATTGAGACACCATCTCACTGTGTAATTCAGGCTGGTCTTGAACTCTCTATATAGCCCAGGCTGGCCTTGGATTTGTGGCAATTCTTCTGCCTCAGCGTTCCAAGTGCTGTGAATACAGAACACACAACAATACTTCTATGAGCCTGCCTTCTTTTTGGATGGCACTCAGGAATGGCATTGACAGTATGTTAGTCACACCTCATAAAGACATTGACAAAAGTTTTTCACAACTGCTTCAAAAAGTGGCAAGAGCAGTGGGATAAGTGTGTTGAAGTGGGAGAACATTTTGTGGAAGATTAATGGCAATGTCTTTTACTGTAATAAAATTTTTAAACTTAATCATTCCTAATACATTTTTTATCACTCCATGTACAAACTAACTTTAATTCATACTTCCACTATATATAAAGGCTAACTCTAAATGCATTATAAACATCAATGTAAAACCTAAAAGCATAAAACTTCTATTAGAAACAATATTTGAAACTGAATTAACAGATATTATTTAGAAATAACATCAAAAGTATAATCTATATGATTAAAAATTGGTAAATAGGATTTCCTCAAAGTACAACACTTTGTTCTTTAAAAGACATTTTCAATGAAAAGACACACTGCAGGTGGGGAGAAATAATTGCAAGTCAAATATCTGAAAAAAGTCTCAAATCTAGAGTATAGAGCCATTGAACTTTAACATGTACAAGTACCTCAGTCAAAAGTTGACCAAAAGATTTGAACAGATTCTTCATCAAAGAAAATATATGGGTGAAAAATCAGCACATTAAAAGAAGCTCGATATTGTAGTCACTAGGGGAATGCAGATTAAAAATATAATGATACAAACCTATTAAGGTGGTTAAAATTAATAGGAGTAACCATACCTAGTGCTGGTGAGGATTGGACAAATCAGAGCTCAAAGACATTGAGGATGGAATGTGATATAACACAATCACTTTGGAAAATAGCCTGCAAGTTTGTTAAAGGTTAAATATAGTCCTGTCATATGAGCCCAGGATCCTACTCATTAGCACTTGTTCATGAGAAACGGGAGCATGTGTATAAAGGACTTGTACACAAACCTTCATGACAGCTCTACTTCTATTATTGGTAATAGCCAAATTTGGAAACAACTCAATGCACCATACCATGAAATACTTCCCAGCAAGAAAAAGTAATGAGCTTTTGATGTATGCAAAAGCATGGATAAATCTCAAAATATTTTTCCAAGTAAAGACACTTAAATCAGATGAGTAAATTCTGTACAATTCTATTTTTATAAAATTCTGAACAAAATCTAAGCTGCTCTTTACAGAAAACAATGCAGTAGTTCATGTGAACTCGGAACAGTAAGAGGAAGGGATTTTAAAAGTACACAAGGAGTTGGCATGGTGTGCATTGCTGTATGCCCCGCTACTCAGTAGTCTAAGGCAGGAGCACTGTAAGTCCAAAGACAGCCTGGGCAACTTAGCAAGACCCTGTCTCAAAATGAAAAGGACAGGAGATGTACCTCAGTGGTACAGTATTTGCCTAGCATATGAGGCCCTGAGTTTAATTCCCAGGATAGGAAGGAAGGAAAGGGAGGAATGGAGGGAAGAGGAAGAGGAGGGAAGAAGGGGAAGGGAACAGAATGGAATGAGTGGGGAGGGAGAAAGGAGGGAAGAGGGATGAAGGAATGGAGGAAGGAAAGAAGAAAGGAAGGAAGAAAAAGAAAAGTTAGAAGGAAAGAGAGAGAGAAAAACAAAGAAGAAAGAAAGAAAGAAAAGAAAGGAGAAAAGATATCACATGAGGACTCTTTTGTGAGTGACAGACATATTAAATTTCTTATTTGGGACAATGGTCTTATGGATATATACATACTGTATTTCAGAGCTTAAATGTGTGCAGTTTATTGAACATTAATTTTACCACTAAGAGAACTGTTACAAAATTAATTAAAATATTAGCCAAAAATGTTTCCAGATTTGATGAAAAACTATAAACACTTATATACAAAAAGTTCAATTAATCCTAATCAAATTAACATTAGTATACTTCACAGATCTAGAGAAAACATTCCTAAAATTCATGTGGAACCAGAAGAGACCCAGAATAGCAAAAGCAATCCTGGAAAACAAAGGCAAGAGGCATCACAATCCCTGAGTTCAAATTATACTACAGAGCTGCTGTGATAAAATCAGCATGGTACTGGCAAAAAAACACACAAAAAACCCAGACCTGAGGATCAATGGAACAGACTACAAGATGCAGCCAAAATCACAAAGACACCTTATCTTTGACAAAGGGACCAAACATGTTCACTGGAAGAAGGATAGCCTCTTTCATAAGTGTGCTGGAAAAACTGGCTCTCCACATGCCCACGACTAAAACTAGACCCATATCTATCACCATGCACTAAAGTCAAAATGGATCAAAGATCTAAATATCAAAACAGAAACACTAAATCTACTGGAAGAGAAAGTAGGTAGAAATCTTGCAGACATAGGGGTAGGCAGAAAATTCATGAACAAAAACCAAACTGCACAGAAAATACTTCAAAGAATCAACAACTTGGATCTCATCTTATTGAAAAGTTTTTGTACATCAAAAGAACTCACCAACAGAGTAAAAAGAAAACCCACAAATCGGGAAAAAATTTCATCCAACTCTCTGACAAAGGACTTCTATCTAGAATAAAGAATTTTTAAAAAAAATCAGGCCCCCAAAATTCAGAGACTCAATCCAAAAATGAGCATCTGAGATGAATACACACTTCTCAGATGAAGAAACACAAATGGCAAATAAATATATGAGAAAATGTTCAACATAATTAGTCATTTGAGAAATGCAAATTGAAACAACACTGAGATTCCATCTCACCCCAGAAAGAATGGCTACTACACCATCAAGAAATCAACCAATAACAAATACTGGTGGGGTTGTGGGGAAAAAGGAACTCTTCTCCATTGTTGGTGGGAGTGTAGACT